AAAAAAAAAAAAAAAAAAGGAGAGAGAGGGGGAGAGAGAGAGAGAGAGAGAGAGAACGAATACGCGCGGCTGCGAGAAGCAACTTCCCTATTTTCCTTTTTTTTTCTTCCCTTCTTTTTTAATTAGCCGAGCTAGTTTAACTGGGACAAGCGAGGAAACGTTCCCCCGAAATTCGACGATAAATCGGCTTTACGCTGTGGAAATCAAAAGAAGAGGAAGAAGAAGAAGAAGAAAAAGAGAAAGAGAGAAAAGAGAGAAATAAAGAAAACGGGCAGACCGTGTTCCTCCTCCCAGGGAATTTTCAGCGTGGTCTGCGAGAAATAGGCTAGGACAGAAGGGGCAGGACTTTAAAAATGCAAAATTGCAGTGATTCAGCATTTATCGAACACCTGACATCCTACCTACTGCCAACGGGGAAGTTTCCTCGAGCTGCCATCAATATTTGCACGCCCGGCGTACGAACTTTCGGCCAAAGTAACGAGAAAAAAAAAGGAAAAAGGGAGAGTCGGAATCGAACGCGTTACCGGTTAACAAATCGTGAACGATTGGAAATAAAAAGGAACTGGAAAAAAGGGGAGGACGGAGAGGAGGGAATTCTCGGGAGAGGAGGAGAGAGAGAAAAAAAAATGGAAGAGAAAAATGTTGAGCAGATTCTCCCGTTTGGGGACATATAGACGCAGCCCCTGATCCTCGTCCCTCTTCCAACCCCCTAAACCATATTCCACTCACAACCTACGACTCGTCGTAGGTTATAACCGGCTGCCTTCGCGCCTATACACGTATTTTCCACACGTACAATGACAGCCGTACCTTAGCAGACTTGCAAGCTAGGCTATACAGAACTATAAGCAGGGCATGACACAGCATACATCGGATTCTCGCAGAAAGTTCGCGTCGAATTTTAATGGAGGTGCTGCCATCTCCCAGTGACCCCTGCAAGTGGACTTCCTATAGATACCGGTGGAGAGAAAAAAAAAAAAAAGAAAAAAGAACCGATGAGGGATGGGGGTTGAAATCACTCGGGCGTCGGGCCCGAGTCCCCCTATCGCGAATCTGATTAATGGATGGATTCATGGGCACGTATTTATATGGA